GATACAGGGAGATAACCCACAAACAAACTAGGACCATTTAGTGCAATTTCCAAACTTTTTAGGGTAAGCTGAAGCAGGAACTATGAGGCCTTTATAAAGCCCAGGTCCATGTGTTTAGGGTGCCCTTTATAAAGAAATCTGGTCATTGAAGCATCTCTATTTTCAGGGTCAGCCTGAACTTTCAAATAGGCTGAGGCCTAGTTCCCCATGTTTCAAGGACATTTTAGCTAAGTTTTTGTAAAAATAAAACTGCGAAACCCAAATAAAAACCTTACTTTTTGTTTAATTTGTTTTGCCAAATAAACACAGTGAAAACTTTAGTCTGACTAATTGTACAGAAAATAGAATTTGTAACCAGTAGCAAACAAAACAGGATAAACCTAAGTCCCTGGAAAGCTGGATCTCCATCAGATCAGCGGGTTACTCAGACCCCCCTCATACATGGCCCCCAGAGGAGAGAAGTCCCAGGAGGCAGAAGCACTGATTTACCAGTCCCCATCAAAATCACAGGCTGCACCTGGGAAGGAAAAGCATAAAAAGGAGAGTAACTGATGTTACTTGGATCTCTTATCACTACACAGAGTTGTCTGATTGCTTGCCAACCTTAAGGTGTGGCTTTTCCAAACCCATAGTCCCTGGGCATCCCACCTGCATCCCTATAGGGTAAGTTTCAAGTTCAGTGGTTCTGAAGCCTCTGTTTAACCAGAATCTGTAAAATAAACTGGAGAGGGAAGGTAGACAAAGTCATAATTGCTGGTGTCACCAGTGCAGTCTGAGGCCCCAGCCCCCACTGCAAGAGAAAACAAGTGAGGGTGCCAGATCACTAGCAAGAGTCCAGCTGCCCTAAGCCTCAGTGCTGTCAACCAGCACCCCAGGAGTACAGAGGAGTTCAATAGCGGCTTGAGGTTCCCCTGGGCTAGAAGGGGTCCACGAGTCCTGCAGGCCGCGCGGGGGGGATGCGCTCACATTCCATGCTTCTTGCGGATGACAGCCATGGCAAGCAGCCGATCCTTCTCGCGCAGTTCTTCGCGCAGCTTGGCCTCCGTGAGACGCAGGTGGCGGATGCTGCCCTTCATCTCTTTCATCTTCACTTCCATCAGCGCCAGGATGTCCCGCTGCTCGTTCAGCTTGCGCAGGAGCTCCTCCTCAGTGGTGCCTGAAGACAAGGAGTAAGAGTGGTCGGAGCCCGTATCAGGGAAGCCTTCTTCCCCTACCACCACCAACTGGGGGCCCATAGGGCATTCGGCGGCCTCCAGCCCTGCCGTAGCAGCTTGTAGCTCCGACGCAGCGGCCGCAGCGGCTGCGCCCTCTGCGGCCGCAAACTCCACTTGCACTGTAAGGTCTATGGGCTTCACGTCTTCGCCGGTGGGAGTGATGGGCGCCGGTGGCACAGATCCTGGAGCCTGACTGTCTACAGCAGCCTGAAGGGTGAGGAGCACGGCTGCAGAGGCAGACACCAGGTTCGGCTGCAGCTGGGAGGTCTGGGCAGTGGAGGTGGACGGCGACGACGACTGCTGCTGTTGTTGCTGCTGCTGTTGCTGCTGCTGCTGCTGCTGTTGCTGTTGCTGCTGCTGCTGGCGACGGCGGGCAGCCGCGGCACCCGCGGGTCTGCGCGCTACTTTGCGCTCGTTGACGCCGCGCAGCGGGAAAATGGTGGGGACCCGCACCGTGTAGGTCTTGCGGCCACCCTGGAAGTGAACGCTGCACAGACGGTGGCCCGTGGTGGGCTGGAAGGTGGAGAAGCACCCACTGACGCCAGCACGGGACACATTCTTGAGCCAGAGGCGCCGCAACTCAGCGTCCTTGGGAAACGTGTAAAAGTGCAGCGCCTTGTCCCGGTGCGAGTTGTTGTAGCAGCCTGGCACGCAGCACGTAAAGCCTGGCATGGCTGCGCCGCAAGGCCTGGCCCGGCCCACCGGCCTCCTGCGCCCTTCGACGGCCGGGTCGGTCCCCCGCCGCCCGCCCCTCGACGGGCGGCGCCGCGCGAGGCCTTGGGCAGCCTCCCACTACTGCCGCCCTGAGCAGCCGATCCGGCCCGGCGCCCCGTGCCCAGAACACGCTTCCCGCTGGCCCGCGCCGCGCCGCCAGCCCGGATGCCCGCCTGCGCTCCGGAGTCGGCCCCGGGGACGCCGCGAAGGACCGCCTGGGAAAGAGGACTACGCCCCCCACAATGCACCGCGGTAGAAGCCGCTCACTTCCGGAGTGGGGGTATGCTTATTCCGGCCCCTTTCCAGGGCACCACGATAGCCCTCGCAAAGCAGAGTGTTCCCTGCACTCGTCTTGTCCGCACAGGGAGAAAGAGCTGTATTCGGTTGGAACGCTGTCACCTGGACTGCCTCTCACTAGGACTCGGAATGTTGGGGGGGGCGGTGCGCTCCTCACAATTGCGCAAGCGTAGTGGGTATGGATCGCCGAGACTACAAGTCCCGTGATGCCTCGCGGTGATATCGGCGGCTGCTGTCCGGAGCGCCGCCAAAGGGAGAGATCGAGTTACTGCGGACCAGAATTCGGGCGAGGTTGTGCGGCCCGCCAGAAGCTGTCCCTCAGACCCGAGTGCTTTGGAGTCGACGGCATTCCTGCGGGGCGAGGGAGAGGAAACTTAGGCCTCGGTCACCGGAAGAGCCTTTGGAACCCCTTTCTCTACGTTGGAGATTCTGCCCTGGTTCAGCCGCTGCCTGCACTGACTTATTATTGACCTAAACAAAGTCACCAATAGGCGCCTTATTATGTGCCCAGCAATACAGGGAGTTTCAGGAGCTAGACCCACCCAGTCCTTCCCTCCCAGAGGCTGACCACCTAGGGATGAGAGTATGTCTTTTGGATAATAGATGTAAACGCACGCGAATGGAAGTCTAGTTATAAATAAACGCTCCAAAGAATGAACAGGACAGAGGAGAAAATGGGGGCGGAGGCCCAGGAATAAACACTACAAGAAGCTTGGGCATGGAGGAGTAGCCAATTCTCAGCGCGGGAATCAATCTGTAAGGCCCTGAGGCAAGAATGAGCTAGGCTCTGCCCTTAAAGAGCTTGAAAGGGGATAGCAAAAGGGCGGGAAGATATCAAACTGGGTCATATTAAAGGACGTGGGATTTTATTCTGTAGGCGGCTGGGAGATGCTGAGGGATTTTAAAAGAAAGGATTTGCATTGTAACAAGACACCACCTTCCAACCTCGACTTCTGTGAGGGAAAGTATTTTAAAGAATTTTAGCGTGGATATGGAAAACCAGAGAGGAGGCAGGTAGTAGGTCCGGCGGGGGAATTAACTGCAAACCAGCCCTCTTTTACTCAGCCCCCCCTTTCACTTTTTCTTACCTTTCTTCACCCTTTCTCCTAACTCACCTTTCTCATTTTTTCTCTCCTGATAACATATCACAAGCATGAGATGGAAACCTAGTATACATTATTTCTATTATAATTACAGTATTTAATAGAAAAACAATGTATCAAGATATTTAAAAGCTTCCAGAAGAAAAATAACACTTCAAGTTAACTGTACTTTAAAAAAAATTGTTTTTCTTTATTGCAAAGAACGATGCTTATATTTTTGAAAAATACAGGATAAAGAACCTTTTCTAGTCCCAACATCCAAATACTGCCATTACATTTCTTTCTGTTTACAACCAATGTGATTCTTGGTTATCTGTGGGGGTTTCACTGACCTATAACAGTAGAAAGTCCTGCTCCTCCTGCTCTATACCGCTGAGGTCCGCTGCTTGAACCCCTTCAAATCTAGTGTGTATAGCCCACGGTAAAAGACATGTATTCATTTGGATGAATCATTTAAACAACAGTACAAACATGAATGCATACTGTTACATAGTTAAATTTTTATAAAATCTGTGCAGTAAAGATGAAATTCAGCAAAAGATCGTTGTATCTGTTATTATGTATGTTCATTTTCATACAGTCACTGACTGCTGTGGTTCAAACCCTACCTGTCTCAAGACTCACCCTGTCAAGCAACAGTGAGAAGTCAAATTGATGTATCATCTCTAATCTACAGTTTGTCTTCTATACTTAAAACGTACCTGGACTTTCCCTACTGCCCTGCCCACCCTCTATCATGTCACCTCAACAGAAAGGTCAGAACTTGATCATGTGTGTCCCTGCCTCCAGTCTTGCCTCTCCTACAATCTGTTACTCACGTGGCTGCCAAAGCAAATCTGATTATGTTGTACCTCTGTTTAAATCCTTCCAGTGGCTTTCTATTACATTCAGAATAATATCCAAACTCTTTCCCAGAGCCTGTGAGACCCCATATAGTCTGACCCTTGGCAATCTCTCTCTTCCTTGGGAGGAAATAAATAAATAAATAAATAAGCCCAGGAGTTGGAGGTCGCTGTGAGCTGTGATGCCAACAGCCTTCTGTTGAGGGTGATGAAGTGAGACTCCGGCTCTCTTTTTTTTTTTTAGATGGAGCCTCAAGCTATCCCCCATGGCATCACAGCTCACAGCGCCCCCAAGGCAACAGCTTGAGACTCAGTCTCAAAAAAAAAAGAAAGTAGAATAATATCCAAACTCTTTTCCAGAGCCTGTGAGACCCCATATAGTCTGGCCCTTGGCAATCTCTCTCACTTCACCCCAGTGATTTAAAAAAAAACAAACAAGGCTTGGTGCCTGTGGCTCAAGTGGCTAAGGCGCCAGCCACATACACCTAAGGTGGCAGGTTCGAATCCAGCCTGGGCCTGCCAAATGACAGTGACGGCTGCAACCAAAAAATAGCTGGGCATTGTGGCGGGCACCTGTGGTCCCAGCTGCTTGGGAGGCTGAGGCAGGAGACTCCCTTGAGCCCAGGAGTTGGAGGTTGCTGTGAGCTGTGATG